GGGATCTATCCTGCAACCTAGGTACGGGCCTTTGACCGGAATTGAACCCAGGACCCTTCAGTCTGCAGGCCAACGCTCTATCCAATGGGCCAAACCGGCTTGGACCAGACACCTTTCATGATTGAGGATTAAAAGGAACAGCTGAGCCCAAGGTTCCCCCAAGGGCATTTTGCTCCCTCAGTTTCCCAAGAAGGGCAGGATTGGGAAGGTTGGCATCACAAAGCGTGGCCTTCTCCTGAAAATCTCCAAGCCCACAATGAGCGCTGGAGATGCGACTCATGGGGAAACCAAGCAGGAGGAGCAGCGTGGGAACCAGACAGCCTTCGCCAGTGGGTCCTGACGGAAAGGGACCGGGCAGGGGAGAGCAGCTCAGCGACTTCGGATGAAGTGTTTAGACATCTCAGGGTGTGGCCACCTGGATGCCCCAGGGCTCCAGGCGGCTGCCCCAGGTCCCGGCAGCTTTGAGGAGAGGCCCTAGGGGCCAGTGCAGCCTCAGGCCTGGGCACAGCTGCTGAGCTGGGGGTCCATGTCCCTACCTCAGCCTAGGACCCCCAGAGCCAAGGCAGCTGGCAGCTGGGCCCTCCAGACAGGCGAGGGGTGAGGAGTGGGGAAGAGCCCGGGGCCCTGCCACCTGCCCCCCCGCCCCCAGGCCTCCTGGCACCCCTACTCCAGGACAGGCAGTGGCATCCTGACTCCCTTCACTGCCCTCTGGCTGCCCTTCCCCACCTATTCTCATCTGTGGTCCAGGCCAGCATCTGTCCTCCCCGCACCCCCCACCCCCCCAGATCTGGTGCCTGCTGGCCAGCCCCTGGGTGACCCCCGCGGGGGCCTGCAGTGCTGTGTATGTTTACAGAAGCTGCTGGGCGGGGCTCAGGGTGTGTCCTGGGCTTGGAAGCCCCGCCTCCTCAGTCATGTGTTCAGTGGCCCCTCTGGGCAGGGCAGGGGCCTGGAGGAGGTGGGGTCAGGACCGGCCCTCCTCTACTCATGTCCCTCACGCTGACCCCTCTGTCGATGGGTCCTGGACACCCAGGCCCGCCCGCCTGTTCCTACCTCCCAGCTCGTCTCCACCCCGGGGGTCCTGGTCATTCGAAGGATGGAGGGCACAGCTGGGACCACCCGGGCTGCTGAGCTAGTGCCCTGGGGGAAGGGGCACCCCCAACCCCTCTTCCTTTGAGGGTCCCAGGCAGCCCCTCCACATCACTGCCCCCCAAGCCTCGGCAGCCCAGGCCCTTGGATCTGAAACCAAACACTTCCACTCCCCTCGCCCCTCCTCACTGGCCCGTTGACAGAAAGTGGGACCAAGAGTGGGGCCCGGTGGCACCCGGCTGGCTGCTGGGTCAGGGGCTCTGGGGCTGGCCTGGCGTGGCCTGGGGCCTCCACAGCCCCCTGCCCCCCTTGAGCGCTTCCTCCCCTCGGGTTGAGGACGCAGGGGAGGTGGAGACCAGGCCTTCTCCCGGAGGCTGAGTGGGGGGCTGTGCATGCTCGCGTGGGGCACGTGGGTGCATATGCATGGGCGCGTGCCGTTCCTGAGGGAGGGGCCGCGGGGGTGCCCACCCGCCTGCCTGCCGCCCTTCCCCCACCTGCCAAGAAGGCAGCCAGTGGCCGTGATGCGGCCGGGACACAGAGTGAGCTCAGTTTGGGACGTCACCTGTTCTGGTCCCACCTGCTGCTCAGACCCCTGACTTGGAAAACACACGTGCCAAGGCACCCATCATCGCTGTGCCTTCGTCTCCCCGGAGGCATAACCCTCCCCCGCACCCGGCCCCGGCCCCACCGTGGCCTCCCGTCCGCTTGGCTCCCCATCCCATGATCGCTGGTACCTTGGGCCTGTGCCATGACCCCGACCCCGCTCACGGCCGGGACTGGCCCCGACCCTGCCCACCCTGACCCAGGGGCACAGAGACCTGGGGGGAGCTGGGCCTCCCTCACTCTGTGACTCCCACTCCTCGCCAGGCTCCCAGCCCCTGCCCTGCTGAAGGCCCGCTGCTGGCATAGCCTGGGCCCAGCGCAGAAGCAAGACGAATCAGTGGCCCTTCGAGTGCAAAAGCAGACCAATCAGAAGTCAGAGTAACATTCCCAGGAGCACCCTGGCCAATGGCAGGGGGCCTTTCGGTCTGGCCTTTCCGCTCCTCCGCCGAGGTGGCCGGGGCCTCCAAGGGGCCTGGCGCCCACCCGTGCCCAGGACTGAGCCATCAGGGACAGGCTGCCCGCCCCAAGGCTGCCGCACAGGGTCATAGGCTTGGGGCCGGGGCCGACTTGGACTCAGCCCTGGACGCTCCGGGGCCAGCCCACCCCGCCCCCCCCACGGGTGGCCCCCCCGTGGCTCTGCCCTCCTCCCACATCACCCTCGGGGGGTCTGAGCCACCCCCCTCAGCCCAGCTCGGCTCAGCTTCCCCCCTACTCTGCCCCCCAGACCCGCAGCACAAGCTCTCCCGGCCGTGCGCTGGCCTGACCTCCCTCCGGGGCGGGGGTGACCGCTGACCTCCATATGCAACCGATAGCGAGCAGCCCCCCCCCCGCACACGCACTCCACGTGCCATTCTCCCATGACTTTTTGTACTTAGTGTATGAAAGATCCAAACTAATATTGCTGTACAAAGGAGAGAAATTAATGTAGCCTATTCTATAAATACATCTGTATATACAGGGCTCTGTACATTGTATAGACTGTGTATAAACTGGATGTAGAAGCACGCCGGCTGCCTGCGTGACCTCTCTGCCCAGCAGGGGGCGGGGAGGGGGGACATGTGGCCCTCGCTGCTGCCCAAGCCCTGACCCAGGACCGCACTGAGCGGCCGGCCGGCCGAGAGACCAGAGGGCTTGGAGCCCTGTTTGAAGGCGGGCCCTGCCCTGTGAGATGGTGCCTGTGGCCGGTCTGACCCCCCGGGAAGAGGGGTCTGGGGCTCAAAGAGGGGACAGTCAGCTGCTCAGGGCCAGGCTGGTGCCACCCCTTCCCCACAGGGCCGAGAGCTAGGGCAAGGGACGGGGCCTCCACTCCCCCACCCCATCCAGGTACGCAGGGGCCCCTGGAAGTCTTTTCTGATGGCTCCCCCGGGCGCGTGCAAAGTCCCTGGCCGGGTCCAGGGAACCGGCCATCCGGGCTGCGGGACAGTAGGACCTGGGGAGCAGCTGCAGGACCCGGAGGGGAGGCACCTTGGCCTCCTGCCAGCCCCAGGTCCCGTCCTGCCCGCTCCACACACCAGGTGGCGCTGCTCCTCCAGGCGGTCCCACCTCCAGGGGCAGTTGGGCCCAGGCACTGACCCAGCCAAGCTTTGACCCCACCTTGACCTTCTCCTTTTCCTTACACTGTGCACCCTCCTACCCTGACCCTTGAGTCCAGAGTGACCCTACCTGGTGGGGGGGGGGGG